TTGTTTCGTTCTGCTGTGCATGGGGTTACTATGAGTCGGTTCCGACTCGATGGCACCTGACAACAACAAACCCTGTGTGAACTGTTGCCAAAGGAGTCAAACTTTTCTCTTGGGCATTAGTTGTAACTACTGTGTTATAGCTGCAACTGAACTACAGACTAAATCCTGGGTCGAGGTCTGTGTGGCAAAATGAATTTAGGACTAGTACTGTCGCTATGGGTCGGAATCGACTCGACGACACTTAACAACAACAACAACAACTGCAGGGTGGTCCTGCTCTACCTGCTGTAGATGTGATGGACAAGAGCTAGCTGTCAGGTGCTTATTAGGGAAGTAAAGTTTAGCCGTCACCAAGACCCTCATTCCTCGTCTCCGAAACTAGAACCACTTCACCAGCTTCCCCAGACCAAACTCCATAGGCCAGGTTCTCTGTGAAGCTGAGACCAGGGCAGCTGCCAAAGTGTCGGAGCCAGGCATCCCCAGTCAAAATGAGTTTTTAAGAGAGACTGTGTACAGCAAGCCCTGGGCAGTTAAGTACCATTCCTCTCCCTGTTGGACCTTGGGTCAGGTTTCATGGAATGAGTTGAACTTGGTATAGTCAATAGATCTGATTTCTCTGGTGCTCAGACGCTCTGCTCCCCAGTGTCTTGGGAGCTTCTTTGTTCTGTAGTTTCCAATCCTTTTTTTATCCCTTTCCTTGCTCAGAAATGTCCTGCCTCATGGAGGCTCTGGAAGACAAGCGAGTGAGGTTACAGCCTGAGTGCAAAAAGCGCCTCAACGACCGCATTGAGATGTGGAGTTACGCAGCAAAGGTAATGGCCCAGAGAATCTCCTCAGGTGGTCACGTCTTTTGACAGTCTCCAGGTCTTGTCCAGACACTTGTTTCATCCTCTGGTTCTTGTTATCACCTGGTCATGAGTGTATTTGACAAATCTGGCAGTGCACCTTTTCTTTAAACCTCTTCAGCCATCCAGGAACCAGGAGCCCCATCTCCTTTTGCATCAGGGGTCATGTTTGCAAGGCATGACTCAGTCTAGTGTTTTCTGCTCCCAGTTACCCAGAGTCTGCCATTGAAAACGCAGTCACCCAAAGGAGGCATATGACTTAGGCCAACCATGCAGCTAGTTCTTGCCCAGACCTCAGGTCCATGGGAAAAGAAAGAAACTCCACCACTCCTCTCTTATAGCCTGTGTTTTTAATGTCACAGTCTTTAGAAAAAGACTGTGCATATGAGACCAGCCCACAACTAGCCTGAATCATGGAGAATAATAGAAATGATGAGACATCAGGACATTTATGAATGTGGGTGTGACCCAAACAGACTTCGGGTAGGGGGAAATTTTTCCTATAAAATTCCGCCTTGGTGAGATCATTAAGAACAATTCTCATGTATACATTGTTCTGTCATTTACTAAACATTTAATGGGTATATTACCTCATTTGAGCTGTGAAATAATCTTGCAAGGTAAGTGGAATGATGACATCCTCATTTCACAGTGGAGGAAACCGAGACTTTGGAGATTATGACTTGTCTGCAGTTCCTGGTGAAAAGGTCATATTTCTGGATCCATACTGTCTGTGTATCCCAACACTTGGGCAGACATCTCCACTTCCCTGAGCTTCAGAGAGTGGCCACAGGACTCACCTGTTCTTGCTGTCACTTGTATGCTGGAAAGTCAAGGAGAGGAAAAACCCCAGAAAGTCTCCATATGTAGACATAAGGAAAATGAGGGGAGGGAACCGTAATTGCCACAGTGGTAAGCCCCTCCTCTTTCTTCTCTCAAAGGAAAAGAGGCAACTTTGCAGTCCTGCCTGGTTAGATGAGGCAGCAAAAATGCTTAGCATTGCCTCAGACCACTTGTCTTGTGTTGGTAAAAGTAGCTATTCAGTTCCGTGTACATGAGGTGACTCTGGAAGACACTGAGCCCTCTTTGGGCCAGCCCTTCTCAGGCCCCCAAGCTAATGTAAAGCTGACTGACTCCAAAGACCAAGTTTTTGTGTACCTGAGGAACCTTTTGGCCCTGTTTCTTCCAAAGCAGGCTACTGTGACACCAGTAAGGAGGACTGAGTAGAGTGGGCTGTCAGGGTCCGGGGTGGGTGAGTTGTTTACATACAGCTCTCACTTTAAGTCATGTTTGCAAATTGTTCTTGACATGGGGAAAATGCTAACTACAAAAGGCTGACTGCAAAAAGAATTAACATCCAAATGGCCTCAACTTTTTTGTTTCTATTTAAAAAGACAATAAGCCTCTGAAGAAAAGTCAAAATATATAAGCTGTAGCCTCCTGAAGTCTTCTGGGTCTTCATCTGCAAGACCACGTACTTGCTAGGATTGCTGTGAGGATGAAATGAGTGCTCACTTGCTCTTTGTATGGGACCTGACGTACTCTTACTAGGTTAGCACACCACCCCAATGCACCCCCTGGGATCTCAGAAGCATCCTTGGGCCCTCTCAGGCTGTAGTTGTGGATGGTGGCACCTCTGTGGACATTTCTATGTCCTTATTTTTGGGTGGTAGACATAACCAGCTTTATGATCATGAAAACAAGCTGCAGCTCTGTGTTTGGCTTTCTTTGTCCTTTCCCTCCCTCATCAAAAGAAAGGACACTGGTTGGACTGGGAACTGAGGGTGGCGAGTTAGCTGGAGCACTGCCACCAGTCCAGTCCTTCTCAGAGGGTGATGTTCCATGTCCTTCCAGGTGGCACCGGCAGATGGCTTCTCTGATCTTGCCATGCAAGTGATGACATCCCCGTCCAAGAACTACATTCTCTCTGTGATCAGTGGGAGCATCTGCATCTTGTTCCTGATTGGCCTGATGTGTGGACGGATCACCAAGCGAGTGACACGAGAGCTCAAGGACAGGTAGAGCCACCTTGGCTACCAAAGGAACGACCTGTCCTGTGCCCAGTTTGTACAGCCCTCCTGTATAGTGCACCTACTCACCTCACTCTCCTAGAGGTGACACCAACACCCGTGTTAGAGCAGCAGCAGGTTTCCACTACGTTGTCCCGTCTCAGACATCACCTGTGTCCACAGTGCCCTCCGCGTTCTCAGCCACTTGTGCAGCATCAGCAGCTGGCTGCTCCTAATGTCTCTGTTGGCAAACTTTGGTTTACCTGCCTGTAGACGAGTCTCTCTCATACCAATGGAATTACCAGTACTTCCAGAACCAACTCACCTGACCTGCAACTCAACTGATTTTTTTAAAAAACCACCAAAAAAAAAAAAGAAAGCAATTTTTTTAAAGAAAGAAAAAAGTGTATATAGTAACACATCTCCAAGTTTGATTTGGGCAATGGGTTTATTTCTTCTGTGTGACTGTGTAAAGTGAAGGCAGGACTTTAGAGGGGAAGCACACCACCCAAAATGCTCTCACTAGGATCTCAGAAGCGCCCTTGGGCCATATCAGGCCGTAAACATCACCCAGCTACTCTGGGTCTTATTTTCTTCTGCTGGAAAAGTAACACCTTCAGTTCCCACCCTAGGAGAGTCACTGTTGGTCAAGACCACAAAAGCCTTGATATCTCTAGGATTTTCCTCCTCTCAGTTGAAATGCAGCATGAACAACCCAAGGCCCAGGGCAGATCGTTTGGGAAGAGGATCAAAAGTTCAAGAAGCTCATCAGTCCACTGAGCTGTACTGACAAGCTGGATTCTGATCCTCCATGTAGCAGAATCTCAGAATTCCTCCTCCAGGAAAATGCAAGACCACAGTGTGGTGGATTGAGGTAGCAGACCTCCCAGAAGTCCTCAGCTGTATGAGAGGGTGGGTGCAGGGCAGGGCAGAGCAGGAATGAGGAGCAAGGCTTCCATTCCTCTGTTTCATTTTTTAGGCCAAAACACAAGCTAGAGACAATGCATGGTCTCAGGTGTGACTGGCAGTCCCACCTGACTGTTCTGCAGCCTCAAGGCAAACTTCCAAGATAAGCTTCTCTGCCTTTACATGGAGAGGGCATGGAAAGTGATTATATTAAAAGATGGAGGGTTTTCTCTATTGTTTCCCTTTATATCCATTCGCTGTGTATACCTACTCCCTTAGGTGGTGGTTAACTGCTTTTCCAGAACCTGAGCTTTGTAGAAGCAGTATTCCTGGCCCTTCTCCCAATGTGGCAATGACAGGTTTGCGGGGGTAGGGGGGCCACAGAAAGGGAGGGAGTCCAGACCTCATGGGTCAATCCTGGCACACCTCTGATTGGGTTTGGGGCACGAGGTCACAGTGGCTGCACAAGAGGGCAGCATGTACAGTAGGAGATATATTTATATAATATATATTTGATTAACCTGGTAGATGTCCACAAAGTATTATAAATCATGTGCCTAAAACTGTCCCCATAAACCAAGGCTCATTCATGGTACCCTTCCTTCCTTCTGCTTCAACTTTGTCATTGTCCACATTTGTTGCAGTACCTAAAGCAACAGAATTGTGTTCAAATTCAAGGTGATGGGGAGGATCAGTTTGTGGATCAGCAAATCCAAATTCTTCCTTTTCTCACCTGACTAATGGACATTTGAATACTGTGGTTTTCTTCTTTTTCGCCACCTTTCCTAGAGGCAATAGGTTCCAGAAGCCAGATGTATCTCCCCTCTGTTTAGAGTAATACAAGTCACCAAGGGGAACTGCTAAGCTATTTGTCTCAGCCCGGTTCTTAGGGGGCTTCCTGACTCTCAGCAAGTGTCCTGGCATTCTTCAGTCTCATAAAACTAGCAAGTCTTGGAGTATATGCTGCAGCACCACTACTGGGCGTTATTAAGCTGCTCCAGTTATTCCCGCTCCAGGAGCTGCAGTCTGCTTAGTAGGGGCTGCTGAAGCTTTGGATTGAGAACCAGGAATGTGATCTAAATGCAGGCCTCCATCTTGACATATCTAGAACAGTTTATAGATGGGATTAGTGTTCAGCACTTTGACAAAGGTCACAGGTCCCATGCTACATCTCTGCTGTCTCCCAATATATGTGAAGCATTCCTTTTATTCTAATGTGTCTCAGTAGTTCTGCTAACTGAGAGAAGATCTCATTAGAAGCTGAAAGTCTGAAAAGAAATTAGGTTCATGAAACACTTGTCACCTTTAGAAATGGTTCAAAATAGACTGCTAGTGTCTTCCTTCAGCTGCTTGTTGCAAGAGACTTTCACCATCTGACTGAGAATAGGTTCATGTAACTGATCTTAAAGGCCCCAGGCAGTATCCTGAGTAGGTGTTCTAAATCCAATGGACTCAGCCCAACCACATCCATTCTGAGTTCACTTAGCACAACAAAATAGGTTTGGGGCCACCACTTGCTTCAAAAATCAATCAAGAATATGAGTAAACTAGCTGAGAACTAGTCAAAGAGAAGAAAGCCTGGCCTTAGAATAGGAGCGGATGAGATGATGGACTTTGGCCTTTGTACGTTTTCCTGAGGTCCACCCCATGAATGATAACATAAGTAGCACGTAGAATGGTTTTTTACCAAGGCCAAGCAATTGCTCAAGGCTCCAGGCACTTGCTGAAAGTGACCGTTGCCCAGTAACTGTCGTCTGACTTTGTCAGCTCACTCCAGTGCCTCAGTGACTCTTCCACATAATGTGTGCTACAACACGCCAAAGGCGCCCGGAGTCTCATGGACTGGAGGCCCTGCAGTATAGGAAATCAGAAGTCTGGGCAAAATGACAAGAAGACGACTGCTTCCCCTCAGACAGTGCTGCTCCCATGAAGGACAGCTCTGTGAGTGAGACTTTACCTTGGTTCACCCTGGCCTTGCCCTGCTGTTGCTATGGTCCCAAGAAAGCTCTGCTAGCAAGAGCCACTGAGACTAGAGACACCTCAAAGGCTTGGGCACACTCCAGTGGGAAACCTTCCTCTGTATTCCTTGGAGACCCTCTGGCTATCACTCCCAGTCACAGTCCCAGTTCTGAGGATCCAGTCAGCTTGTTCCAGTACACCCTTAGAAGCTAGGTAACTTCTGGAGTGATCGATCAAGTCCCATCCCATGAGCAGGTGATGACTAGAACCTATTGCAGGTCTTTGTCTCACATTCTGAACACGGTCTTCTGGAGAACACTGAACAACTCAAGGATGCAGGAGTGTGGGGGGCTGCTATCAGATGTCATTTCTTCCTGTATCCTGAAGTCACCTAATAGAAAAATCCAGTAGTGAAGAGGCCTGTAGCATGCACATCAGACAAATTGGGAAAGCAGGCATTGTTGAGTTGGTTCTGACTCACAACAACCCTGTGTATAATGGAATAAAAGTCTGCCCAGCCCTGCCCACCTTCCCAGGGAGTGCGGTTTGAGCCTGTCATTGCAGCCACTGTGTCTGTCCTCTTTTTGAGAAGTTCCCAGTTCTTATAGATCCAGACTCCTGGAAATGTCTCCCATCCTCCCGAATTCAGGTTCCTGGGCCTACCTCATCCCAACAGCCCTGACTTTGCGAATCCTCCAGGGAAAGGTACGTTGTTTCTTGGAACCTTGTTTCTTAGTTGGTCTCAAGTCTTTTTGAGAAAAGACTTTACTCCTTTCCCATTCCTTCGCCATAAAATAATAATAATAATAATAGGCATTTGCTATATATAATTTATTCTAAGTAAACAGATGTGGGAAGTCAACCAACCCAGCCACACAATTCTGGCACATTCAGCTGAAATGTTGGCCATGAATCAGAGAAGACTACAGGGATTGCTGACACAAGCAGAGAAATTTTTACTTCAGCACGTATGTCGTTAATACTTAGTTTTTAGCTGTAGAGCAGAGTTACAGACAAAGCTGCAGGCAGGGTATTTGTAGACTTTGAGGATAGAACACAATCATCGGTTCCACAAGGACATTCTGTCTCTAGTGCTAACTTGTGGTACAGTAGATTGCAATTACTCACTTTTTATGCAGATGTCTGCATTTGGGAATGTTGTTACACCATTTACTAATTAAGGATTTCATTTCTATTTTGATTGGCTGATTCGGTTATCATTAAAGGTCAGGTAGTAGGGTCCCATCCTCCTCCCTTCACACGACAGAATAGTATTATTAGAAGTTTCTAAGGATGAAGCAGTTGCAGCATGCAAGTTGTGATGGCATAAAGCCAAAGGATGAAAAGCTGTTCCCATCATCTAGAAATAATAGTATTTTTGAGTCAACCCATGAACATGCTGGATCCTTGTTTGCTTCACAATGGTGCTTTTACCAGATTCTCCAGCACCTGAATCAAGGAAAAGCAGGAGAATCTGAGGCACATCCTCCGTTAGTGACGCCAGAGAGAATACATTTATGTGTAGCAAACGCCTTTTTTTTTTTCTTGAAAGGGGACTCCAGAAATGGGCGTGGCAGGTGGACTTCTTGGGTTTCCATCAGCATTGCTAAAGACTGGCTTTTTGAAGTGTGTGTATTTTGCCGTGTTTACTTATATTTCAAATTCTTATTAATTTGGAAAACCTCAAGGTGAGAATTCTCCATTTGATTACTCACCATTTGGACGGCACCTATGTACTTTTATGAAATGCAGCATTCTAGTGCTGTAAGTTCCTCCTAGGCTTCTGGGGACACTTCTTTCCTTCCTCTGCCCCCTTTAATGCACTAGTCTCTGCTTCCCAAAGGGCCTGGGCCAGAGTAGCTAATGTCTGGCCACTCTCTCATCTGTCTTCAGTTGACCATCCATCAAACCACACTCCTTGGTCCTCCTCCCTCCCTGAGGCCAAAGTCACAAGTTAGGGCAACTCCTCCTTCCCACCCAGACCTCAGATAACAGATAAATCAGAAGCAAGCCTAGACTGAATCCTCAATTGGACAGATTCCCCCAAACCATCTGGTAGGGCCACTGTGGGGACCCAGGGACTGCTTCTCACTGAACTACAAAGCTGGTGGTCAAAGGATCTCTTGACAGGTGGTGTCCTTCCCTGTC